TAAAATAAATAGATTGTAGTTTTGCTTTGATTTTGTCAGTTTTTCATATTCTTTCTGTAAATATTTTCTTAAAACTAACAGGATATTGTTGTACCCTCTTTGTTTATCATTCCTAAATGTTAAACCCAACTCTTCTACAGTGACTGAGGGACTGGCCCTCATTACCCAGAATGAGAGTTAGGTGGACCACTGACTTATGATGATTTCAGATGTGCATAAATCCTATTGACTTTCAATGAGACTTAGGCTCCAAAGTCTCTGAAGGCATGTCTACACTACATCTGCTACTACTGTAGCACTGTAGTGTAGACCCTTCCTACATCAGCAGAAGGGTTTTTTCATCAATGTAGTTAATCAGTTTCTCCAAGATGCAGTAGCTAGATCGATGGAAGAATTCTTCTGCCAACCTACCTGTGTCTACCCTGGGGGTTAAGTTGACCTAACTATGGAGTTCAGGGCATGGAATTTTTCACAGCCCTGAAGTGTGACCTAGCTAGGTTGATTTAGTCTTTAAATGTAGGGTGGACTGCTGCTCCAAATTTGGATGATTGTTTGAATGGAGACTAACCAGGAAATCCTCTTCATCAGCTTGCCCAAGGGTGGTTTTAGTAATATGCCAAACCCTTCCAAACAGGAATAGAATCCTGCGCACAACCTGGGCCTCTGGGAACTCAGTATTCCATGACGTGAAGGTTCCAATTTGCCTAGACTATACCCCATTGCTTCTGAAAAGAAAGAAGAGATCCACGGATACTGAGATGAGATTGACTTTTGTGGTCCCATAACCTTCCAAGCTTTGGGTGAATTTTATCAGACAACTAAACATCTTTAAAAACCCAACAAAGGTTAGTAACTTAATTGATAGAAAGAAGGCTGCAGTATCTGACGACATATCATCCCAATCTTAAAGGACTCTGATGTACTGTTTCAGTTAATACTTTATTCCTGGTTATAATTTGTATTGTTTTTTATATTTACAACTTCCACCGTTGTATGAATCCTTTACCTTCTCCGGCTACTGTTAGGACCCAGTTATTTCACAAAGGTGTTTCTCTGCTATCCTAACTTCTTGTACTTATTGTGTGGAATTCTGTGCATTCTGCATGTCTGGTGCTTCTGTGCTTTTACCAGTTGTTTGAAGCTAGGAACTGATAGGATGCAATCTGTTTAATATTGATGTTAGTATTTCCGAACTTATGTTAGTAGTACACCACAAACTGTTCTCTTTCTCAGAAGAGGCAAGAACTTCTCTAGTCTCTGCCTAAGGAGTGTTAGTATTTCCAAGAACTTCTCTTTAGATTTTAAAGTTTTTAACTTTTCCCGTGTCTTGTGCTATATGGCGAACTTACTTTATTCAGTCAAGTGTATTTTCTTTTGTTTTGCTATGCATGTGGCTCGCTAAGGGTGGTGGTATAAATATATTTACCGAATTTCCTGAATTATCTTCTTGATAATCTCTAAAATGGAGATTCTGTGGGAGTAAAGTTAGGCTCTCAAATGAGTTTCTCTGGAACCATCTTGTAAGAAATGGCATAGTAGATTCTTTACTTGCCAGCATTAGGTCAGTTTGTGGTTGAGGTGTTTGTATTGTTCTGTGTGGTCATTTGTATCTCCTCCTTTCTCCTTCCCTTAAGGATGTCCCCAGGAAATCTGAGGATTTTCTTTCTTCTGCTGCTCTATTTACCCCCACCACATTATTCTTTTGGCCTCATATCTAGGGTTGCCAGGCGTCCGGTTTTCGACTGGAACGCCCGGTCAAAAGGGGAGCCTGGCGGCTCAGATCAGCACAGCTGACAGGGCAGCTAAAAGTCCAGTTGGTGGCGCAGCGGGGCTAAGGCGGGCTCCCTGTGGCTCCCGGAAGCAGCCGGGGTAGTGGCAAAACTGCAACTGGCACATTTTCCCACCAGTAGCAGTTGTCCGGCTCGTAGGTGCAGGGGCAGCCATGGGGGCTCCACGCACTGCCCCCACCACGAGCGCTCTGGCCCCTCCAGAGGGAGATGCCAGCAGTTTCCGCCCTCCTCCACAGGGAGCCTGCCTTAGCCCTACTGCGCTGCCTACTGGGAGCCGCCTGAGGTAAGCGCCACCCAACTGGAACCCACACCCTGAACCCCCTCCCACATCCCAACCCCCTGTCCTAGCCCTGAGATCCTTCCAGCACCCTAACTACTGGATCCTTCCAGCACCTAACTGGAACCCACACCCCCATCCCCTAGCCCTGAGATCCTTCCAGCACCCTAACTACTGGATCCTTCCAGCACCCAACTGGAACCCACACCCCCACCCCCATCCCCTCCCACACCCAAACTCCCTCCCAAAGCCCACACCCTGCACCCCCTCCCGCATCCCAACCCCCTGCCCCACCCCAGAGCCCACACCCCTAGCCAGAAGCCTGAACCACCTCCCACATCCCAACCCAGAGCCCCCTCCCGCACCCGGAACCCCTCATGTCTGGCCCCATCCCAGAGTCCATACCCCTGGCCGGAGCCCGAACCCCAATCTCCTGTCCCTGCCCGGTGAAAGTGAGTGAGGGTGGGGGAGAGGGAGGGGGGAATGGACTGAGTGAGGGCGGGGCCTTGGAGAAGAGGCGGGGTAGGGGTGTTCAGTTTTGTGCAATTAGAAAGTTGGCAACCCTACTCATATCCGAGACATCCTTCTGAGGAGGACTAATGGGGCTTCCTTCAGAGCGAGTCAGTACCACTTCTTTATCCTTTGAATGAACTTTCTTGCTGAGGAGACTTCTCCATTTCCTTCTCTTGTGGGCTGAGCATGCTGCTGTACCTCTTAATCACTTACCATCCCATAGGTCTGGGGATCAAGAGGCTAGGAGTACAACCAAACCCAGATTTTAAAAATGGGGGCCGTTTGGTCATCCCAGCCGTTTTAAAATGAATGTGAAAAGGGCCATTTCCCTTCCTTTCATTCGCTCCCTCAAAAATAAAAATCCTTTCAGTCAAAATGAAATAAAGTTTTAGATCTAGTTTATGGAATAGTTAGCTTCAACTGCCTATTGAAATGAAAAGCTTTCTGATTTCTGAGGGATGTAATGTGTACTTTTTGAGGAGGGAATTGTTTTTAAAAACAATGTCCAAATATTATGTTGGTAGAGAATATATTTTTCAAAGCACTCACAAACATCACCTACTTTCTCCTCACAGCCTCCCAGTGAGAGAGGAGAGTATGATAGAAGTGGGGAAACTAAAACAGAGACATAGAAGTGACTTGCCCAAAACCACCTCGAATCTCTCCATCAAATTCAGTGAGCTTTGAATAAGGCAGCGTATAGTGAGTGAGTGCCAGAGCTGGGGTAGAACTTGGGATTACCTGGTTTCCTGCTGCATGTTCGTTCCACTAGATGCAGTTGCTTTTAACTCCACAAGTGCAGCTTACCCATAAATCTGTAGGCATGCCTGCAAAGCAGAGCTGTACAATGGGAGTTTGTCACTTGTGTCCAGGGTAGACAATATATGTACACCAGAGAACCTAAGGAGGAGAAAAATCTCACACCAGCTTCCACCAGTTCATCTGAACCAGTATTTCCTGTGTGGGAACCCTAGTGTAGACAGGATTCCAGCCACTTCCAGCTTTCTCACCTTTAGTTAATTGATATGATTTAAAAAGAAAGAAGGGGGGGAAAAAACCTGGAAACTGACAGACTTCTCTACACTAGCTTCAATACCAATGGGATGTTTTTCCTAAAATTGCCTAGCTGAAGGCAAGCCTATAATAATGATACTACTCCAGCTAAAGGCACTAAAAGGAGTTGGCTTTAAAAAGAAATATGCATGTTGGAGCACTGGACTAAGTCTGATTTCTTCTTTTCACAACAAACTCAAATGCCTGTAATTGGGGAATAAACAGTCATTTTGGAAATGGCTCCTCTTAGCTCAGGACTACTGCCTTTTTAAAACCAGTTTTTGTGTGTGTTTACAAGTTTTTTTTAAAAAGGAACACTGTCAACGTAAGTCACACTTCTTTCTGAAAATTGGTACCTGCTAGTGTTGTCAGGAACACCCAAGATTACTGTAACTGAAAGAGAGTAGAGAAAAACATAACTTCCTTTACTTACGTTTGTTTACTTTGTGCGTTATATAGCATTTTTATATATTTTACTATCGTCTTTTTATGGGTGGTTAGCCAGCTTCCCTTGTTTTTTGAGAGTCTGTCACACAGCAGCAGAGGAGGGAGACTTTTTTTAAGGAAAATGATTATAAAAGCCCTAAAAATGACAGGGAGTCAGAAACCTATTCAGTACTTGAAAATACTTTATTTTATTTTTTTTAATTAACGAAATTCAAATAAGCCCCATGAATGCCTATGCTCCAATGTGCTTTAAAAAAAGAAAAGAAAGCTTTAAAGGACAGTTAGTTTATTTGCAGCCATTGCCACCAGTTTGAATACTAATAAACGCTCCTGTTGCTTGCTTTGAGGTCTTTCAAGCCTTCCGACCTCTCCCTTGGTTGCCGTCTCCCTTCTAAAGCGACAGTCTAACTCTTTGGGCTACATGTAGTCAAACTGATAATTGTTTTCATGGTCATATTTTAAAAATCTAAATTAGCTGCTTTATGTACAAGACGAATCACTTGGGTGAAATCCAGAGCCCATTGAAATCAATAGCGTGGACTTCAGTTGAGGCCAGGATTTCAACATTAGGCCTGATTCAAACCCCATTGAAGTTAATGGGAAGACTCCCTTTGACTGTAATGGGGTTTCGGTCACGGCTTTAATATAATTCAATAGCAATTTCAAAGACTTTATCTCTTGGTTAATTAATATACAAAGTTTTCCATTATATGAGAATTAAGTACCTTAGTACAGTACATTTTACGGTCACATGGTATTTGGAAGCAACAGTAAGCATGATATTTGTATTAATATGTACTGTAATTGAAAAGTAACTGAAGTTTGATTTGTGTACATAAGGTAACTTTTAATTTGAAATATTGTAATTTTATTTGATGCAACTTGAATCTTAGCTAACATAGCAATTTTAATTCTTTTAGGATGCGAGATACTGCAAGAAAAATAGAAGAGAAGTACTTTTGCAATCTTGCAACACATGTTGAGTTTCTGCCTGTTGAATGGAGATCAAAACTTGCTCTTGATGGAGGTACAGTCACTGAAAATACAATTTTTAGGCATGCAGAAGTATTAACAAAATAGTGATTTATATTGGAAAGTTCTTCTCTTTGGGACAAATATGGGAAAAGTGGACATTTAGGTTGACTTGAAGTGTTAATTTCAGTACTTAACTCCTTTTAGATGTATCATTAATCATAATTTTGTAATTGTGTTCTCAGAAGTATGTAGCCATATTCTGGATTTTTTCCACATTTTATTCATCAATATACCTTGTAAGACTTTGAATCTAACACTTGAGTCTCTTTTTTTCTAGACACTGTTGATTCCATTACTCCTGATAAAGTACGTGGTTTAAGGGATATGTTGAACAGCAGTGCAATGGATATAATGTATTATACAAGTCCTCTCTATAGAGATGAAGTAAGTGTATTTTTTGTATTTTGCTCTAGAGCAAGGCAAATGAAACTGCAGTTCGGAATTTAAACAACATTTTATACCCTCTTCTAAAAAGGGAAGGCTCATCCTGGGATGTCTATGAACTATAAAAAAAAGTGTTAAATATGGTGGTCTTTGTGTTCAGTTCAGTTAATATTAATAGCTCCCAGAATTTTGATAGGTCCTGTGCAACACAAATGGGTTTCTGTCCTAGAGTGTGGAATGCAGTTGCAGACATGGTGCAACAGTGTGGTAGCAAAACAATAAAGGGAGGGTGGTAAGGATGGGTTCCAGCAATAAGATTGTGGCATCTCAGCACTGGCTCTTGCACTGTGTGGTAAGGCAGAAACCTTGATGCATTTTTTGTAGGTGTCATTTTTGTAGGTGTTCAGTTGCTTTGAATATCTTCAAACTAGATATTCAGTTGTTTTACAAAAGAAGCTGCTAGTTAAACTTACAAAAGGCCTGTATTATGGCAAAATCATTTATATGATTAGTTCTTTCACAGTGCGCTGTGGTCTGTGATGGGGCAATGTAGGTTTTCAGTGACAAACATGATAGTACTACCTGAAGGGGGTTCCAAAGAGGATGGAGCTCGGCTGTTCTCGGTGGTGGCAGATGACCGAACAAGGACCAATGGTCTCAAGTTGCAGTATGGGAGGTCTAGGTTGGATATTAGGAAAAACTATTTCACTAGGAGTGTGGTGAAGCACTGGAATGGGTTACCTAGGGAAGTTTTTAAGGCCCAGCTTGACAAAGCCCTGGCTGGGATGATTTAGTTAGGGTTGATCCTGCTTTGAGCAGGCGGATGGACTAGATGACCTCCTGAGGTCTCTTCCAACCCTAATCTTCTATGATTCTATGAGTACTACAAAAAGTTGTCAGTATGGTAAAGACAAACATCTAAATAATTTTTAAAAATTCCAAATCTTGTAATATGCGGAATGTGGTTTATATTCTATATCCCAATAACAGTATTCATAGACTCATAGACTCATAGACTTTAAGGTCAGAAGGGACCATTATGATTATCTGGTCTGACCCCCTGCATACTGCAGGCCACAAAACCGTCCCTACCCTTTCCTTGACTCTGCTGATGAAGTCTCCAAATCCTGTGTCTTAGTGACTTCAATTTGCAGAGAACCC